GCAGATGAAGGCTTCTGCAGCCATTCAGAAACCCCAGGTCACTGTTGCTGCTGCTGCCAGTGAACGCGCCTCAGACAAATCTCTGGCTTTTGCTTAATGGATCTCCCTCTGCTCTCCACATTTCATTCTGCTTCCCTGTTTGATTTTGCTTACCGTGCACCGATGTTCAGGTAAACTGCCCTCAGATATTAACGTGTTTGTGGGATTTCAGCGATGCTACTGTTTGGCTGGTGGATCAGTTGAGAACAGGAGGAGGTGCTCTGAATTTGCAGATCATTTTGGCTGTTGCTTTTCTACTGGTTTACCCTCATTTGTACAACACAGGAGCGCTTGGTTTGTACTGATACATAAAACTTAGATATGGATTGAAATGAATAATCTCTGGGAGCGTTTTCTTGTGAATGAAAACTCAAATTAACAACAGTTATTATTCAGATTTACGCTCCTTATTTGAGACTGGCTTATTTTTCAGCGTGTGTCTTGCAAAAGGACAATCCATAACTCAATGATTTGCTGGATGTTGCACTCTATAGATGGTTTCTAGTTTTAGCTGAAATAACGACCTTTTTATTCTCATATCATTCCTCTGTCTCTTGTCAGTCTCTTCTGCTCTTGTTTCAAATTGAATTTCAAATAGTGTTGGTGTGCAAATTATCCTGAATTAAACATTATAATGAAAATGTGAGGGAAAGCATGTAGATGCAGCTATGCAGCGGTGCTGAAGATCAAAGAATAAAGACGGTCAACTAATCTGGTTCAGATTTTCCCACGTTAAGCAGATATGTGGCTGTTTAGTGTTGTCAGGCACTGTGAGGGTTTGGACGTGACTGCAGGTCTCGTTCCTTCCCAAACTGCAGCTGAGGGAGTTTGAAATCACACTCATGGTGAATGCACTTTGTTGCACTTTGTTGAGTCACACGTGGTCACAACTGAAATAAGGAAACTGAGTATAAATGATTTCTTTATGTGTGTAAATAAAATGATATATGTGCGATGAATAGTTTCTCTGGTGTGTTCATGATTTCCATCAGTTTAATGCCATAAGGGCTCCTGTACCAATGATTTGACTGGAGATGAGAGTTTGAAACTGTTCTGTCACATGGGCCAATTTTGTATCAAAAAATGCCTAATCATGGATAGTTTATTTCCAACTACATATGGGTTATGTCAAATATGGAACTGTTTTTTATTTTAAAATAAAAGTCTCAAATAAATTTACAAATATTAAATCTCTCCATGATGAAGACCCCTCTGCCCTCTTCATTTTTATCCTGACCCGAGCCCATGGCCTTAAACTCATTCTACTGAGGGCTGCTGTGTGAAAAGCTTGCAATCATCAGGTCAACAAACTCAAAATTAAAATCATTTTAGGAGGTTTAGAAGGTTTTTTTTTTTAAAAGATGCCCTTTGGAAATGTGTGGAAAACACCTGCAAGGAGCAGAAAAATAACTTTATTCTTTTTTAATGCTCTTTGTAATAAAAGTGGAGCACAACTATCAGCTAAAATCGAAATTGTGATAAAGAGCTTTTTCTATCTGACATGCTGTGGCTGAACTTCACAGCCTGAACAGGACCTGTGCAGTAGTGGAGCAGATTGCGGTAAAATGCAAACATTTTACGAAATGAACAGCTAGGTTTTGACCAGAGGTGCAGACGTGTTGAGCGTGTAAGTTTGCGTGAGACCGCAGGTGTCCTCCCTGCTGCTCTCATTATGTCGTCCTGATCAGTATCAACACATTTCATTTTTTTAAAGTTCGTTTTTTTTCTTCTTTTGTCTTTTTGATGATTTTGTTTTTTTGAATTAAAAATATCTTAAAAGTCAAGTCTGCATTGTTGTCGTTTATTTACAATGACACCATTATAATATAAATTATTTACACGTTGTATATAAAAGAGAGCCTCGGATGAGAGGGGAAAACACTAATATTTCATCTTTAAAAATATCGATTTCAAAAAGTCCCATTTGCCACATAGAAAAACAGCCGCTCTTTTAACACCGTGATACTTTAAGGCAGAAACGTTTCCAGGAGCCTAACTCGATCCCAGACAACATGACTGAGGCTTTAACGTAAAATAAGAAAGAAGTCCAAACATTCACTGCATCGTAACAACACGGTTTGGTTCGGAGGTGTTCAAACAGAGAAATGATTGCAGGAAAAATAAGTTATGTAAACACCTGCGCGCGGGTGGATGTTTATTGCATTTAAAATAAGAGTACAAAGTATCTTCGTTAACAACAGGAAGTGTGTTCTTGAACATTCGCGGGTTGCCTGGAGGCCTCAGGATGGAAGCTATGGTCTACTGGCTTTGTAAGGCGATAGTTTATTTTTCGAAATGTCGTTGGCTTCCGGGAGAAAGTT